CAACGTACAACATCAGTCACCGTCCAGTCCACTCCTATAAAGGTGGAGGACTATAGAGAATTCCCCAATCAAATAAAGAATTCTCTATCTGCATAACTAATACAGTCCAAGGACCGATGCGGATCGCGTGGCTGCAACGCCGTGCGCGTCCTCTGCGTCCATATCCCGTTCTGGCCATGGTGCACACCCAGTAGTCCCGCCATTTGACCCAATGACGCCGTGGAGACCGTCCTCGCCAGCTCCATCATTAATTCCACCCCGTTTCAATTTACCTTGCCGATTCATTTGCTTTGGTCATAATGATAGTATATGTAATCCTTAGCCCTTGAATCGCTGACACATTAATGTAATCGTTGGTTTTCGTGTAATTATGTTATCCGAGATAACATAAGTTAAATACGTTCATTGCTCACAGGAACCTCACAAACGGTTCATTGTTCTTGCGCGCTCTCGCGAACGCCCCTCATATCCTTAAGCTGTGAGCCGTTACATTGGTGTGTGCACTATTGTTAATGTGTTTTTTAAGGTAACAAACCCACTGAACCACATCATTCGCAGTTGTTGGAGAGACATTGTGTATCGCCTTGCGTTGTTGTGTAAGTAACATGTGCATACCAATAAAGGTTTAATTACCCAACTTTGAGGTTTTCCACAAACGGTTCACTGTTCTTGCGCACTCTCGCAAACGCCCCTTATATCCTTGAGCTGTGAATCGTTACACTGGCAAACTCTGTCGTGGACATAGAAGCACAATGTCATTGTAACATGGGAACCGTGTCGTCGACAGAGAATGACGATGTGCTGCAACATATGAACTCTGCCGTAGACATAAACGCGCGATGTCATTACAGCATGGGAACTCTCTCGTACACATAGAGGCACGATGTCCTCCCAGGATGGGTACTGTGTCGTGGACATAGAATGACGATGTCCTAACTCTCGTGAACAGGGAAGCACGCTGAATCATAAGCACGGGAACTCTGTTGAGGAAATACAACGACGATGTCTTGGCAACATGGGCCTTCTGGCATGGACAAAGAAGCACGATGTCCTTCCAGGATGGGAACTGTGTGGTGGACATAGAATGACAATGTCCTGCAACATGGGAACTTTGTTGTGGACATACAATTGCGATGCCCTGGCAACATGAGAAGTCTGTCATGGACAGAGGAGCACGAGGTTCTTGTAACACGGGAACTCTGTCGTTGACATACAATGACGACGACCCGGCAACATGGGAGCTCTTAAGTAGACATAGAAAAACGATGTCCTGGCAACATGGGCATTCAACCATGGATAGAGAAGCACATTGTCCTTCCAGGATGGGAACTGTGTGGTGGACATAGAATGACAATGTCCAACAACATGGGAACTTTGCCGGGGACATAGATGGCGATGTCCTTCCAACATGAGTACTCTATCTTGGACATAGAAAAACGATGTCCTGGCAACATGGGCATTCTCTCATGGACAGAGGAGCACGATGTTCTTGTAACATGGGAACTCTGTCGTGGACATACAATGGCGATGTCCTGGCAACATGGGAACTTTGTCGGGGACATAGAAGACGATGTCCTTCCAACACGAGTACTCTATCTTGGACATAGAAGCGCGATGTCCTTGCAACATGGAAACTCTCTCGTGGACATACAATGACGATGTCCCGGCAACATGGGAACTCTCTAGTGGACATAGAAAAACGATGTTCTGGCAACATGGGCATTCTGCCATGGACAGAGAAGCACGATATCCTTCCAGGATGGGAACTCTCGCGGACATAGAAGCACGATGGCCTTGTAACATGGGAACTCTCTCGTGTACATACAATGACGATGTCCTGGCAACATGAGAACTCTGTCGTGGACATAGAAGCACGATGGCCTTGTGACATGGAAACTCTGTCGTGGACTTAAAAGCACGATGTTCCTCCAGGATGGGAGCTCTCGTAGACAGAGAAGCACGCTGAATCGTCAGCACGGGAACTCCGTCGTGGACATAGACGCACGATGTCCTTGTAACATGGGAACTCTGTCGTAGGCAGAGAAGCACGATGTCCTGAGAACTGTTCTCTTCTGTTATTACTTATTATTGTTATTACTTTATTTCAATCGCTGTTTTCCCTTTCTTTTAAATTCCACTTTTTCTTCTTTTTAGTTCATTTATTACGTCCTTGTACATGCATTTGAAAAATGAGAAGGAAGCCCTAAGATATACAAGGTTTGTTGAGATGCTGTGTTTTCTCCCCACGGATTGGACTAAAATGTCCAAAGCAAGGTGCTGTGGATCGAGCGGAGTTGCATACTATCCGTTCTTGTAGTATTTCTGAACTGGAAATTGAGACAGTAGAGAGGAAGGTGTTGCTCCAATAATCATATTAGGCATGCTGAAAAATCCCTATGCAAGTCGGCATACAGAAAGAAGTGCATGTTACCTTGCCAACACAATCAGATGTAATGTTTCCTCCCAGAACTTTCTTCTTCTGAAAGTGGATAATTTGGTACTATCTTCACTCTTACTGTGTCATCAGTTGCAATACTACGTTTCTCCGCACATTCACATCTTCGAGGGCTTCAATGGCCGATCTTCACCAGAAACAGTGGAGGCGCCTGCACCTTCTCCATATTGCTTGTCTTTTGCATTTTCCTTTTCCTATGTATTCTTAGAAGCTCGTAAGACTGCGTTTCCAGTTCAGAGGTTTTATGGATTCAAGAGGACTCTGTTACCCTGCCAGGATGTTTTTCCTGGGATTGCAACAATTCTTGACATTGATTTGCTATTTATTGAACTTCCTAATTTCGACTCTACAGTCATCTCAATCGACTGAGCTGGTGGATGAGCCAACACACATTTCAGGAAATATGGCGGCGAATCTCACCATACATGCCACCGAACAGTTGCTGTCATACCCAATACACTATATTGTTCGATAATAAACAGAACAGTAAATCAGATCACTTCATTACCCTATGCAAGGTACTTCGTCGATGCTGGAATCGCCTATACGGTTTACGAATTCAATGGTGTTAGAGGAAGTCTGAGCACCACCACTGACCAAATGGTTTCTTGAACGGTAAGCAAAGCCAACTCAAGTTAACAATGTCATAGTATCACATCATAAATGCAAAATTTATCAAGTGAACTTCAAAAGCAAATGAAATGAGTGATATCTACATCATACAACTATGCAATATCTCTCTGTAAGAATAAATGAAATGCCTTTTGCGAAGATCACAAGAGAAAAATCGCAGACATCTCTAGTGGGACGACTTACTGTGGCCGATATCACAGTATCAACAATATGTTTGCTTGGTCACAATCAATTAAAACAGTTCATTTCAATCTCAGTATGACAGCTAAGATTATCCTGGATTGAAATAAAGAAAATAGAAGGAAACATTGCCAAATGAATCAGTCTGAGGACCATGAAGTAAGAAAATCTGAAGGTCCCGAAGTGAGTTTTTCAACTTGCATGAATTATGTCAGAACAGTGGAATACCTTCCCAAAATGCAATTGTCAAAAATAACAGAATTTAACCCACAAACTGCAAGATTTGGCAATGTAGCTTTCCTTTCACGCCGACTCTGATGTCTAAACAGCAATCGCTTGCATAACGTTTAAACGAACGTTAAAGCTAAATATGACATAACAGAAGTACCGAAAGAAAAAGGTTAGTCAAAAGAGGTGTCACAATCCTAGTAAAATAACGAGGAGAGAATATGGAAGAACAAAGTCGTCTTTGAAGACTTAATCCAGGACAACGGACTTCGTGCAGAACTGCAAAATATACCCGGAACGATTTAAAGGAGAGAACCACGAGCCACCAGAAAGTGGAAAAAAAAGACAAAACATTGGCAACGGAACAGAAAATAATCGAAATACTTAGTGCCATTATAGGAAACCTTCTCGGATAGCAGGATCTGAAACGTCTAGTTTAGGTGCGAGACAGATCAAGTTGCAATCGAGACGGTACCTAAAAGTGGGAATTTCAATAGTCACTTTATTCGTTTTTAAAACTAACTAACTGCCTCCTACTTAGGAGTAAAAGATAAATGGATCTCTCGAAGTCGATTAATCCCTGACGGATGTGCCAAGCATTCGACTTTATTAATCTTACCTAGCCGTTGGAGGTGATTGAATGCATATCTGGCCTTCACAACGACTCGCAGTGGCCTACCGATGTATCGAGCCAGTGATGTTATTCTACAAGACAAGTCTGATACCAACTTGTCGACCTGGAGAGATGGAAGACTTGATGATCCACGAGCACGGAGACCGACCTCATATGTGTTGCGGGGCGCTCCTACCATTGCGCCACTCTCACCTCTTACTAGTTAATATTTTAAGAGTACTTGAGCAAACAGCAATAAAAACAGCTGCAAACAAAGAGCTTAAGAAAAGAGAGCTTTAAAGTAGAAAAACTACATTTTACTAGCGATAGCTGTCAGTAGTTTTGTGCATTATTCCATGCACTTATCACAAATAATGGAGCGCCCATGATGCAGTAGTTGCACGCGCCCTGCAATATACATGGGATGATCCACGCACTGGAAAGATAGCAACACTGGTTCCATACATCGGTAGGCTACCGCGAGACAATGTAAAGCCCAGATATGCATACAATCACCTCCAAACTAGGTTTAAACAAGTCGAATGCATGGTGCCACCCCAGGGACTAATTAGCGCTGGGTGCCTTATTCTTTATCCTTTTTATTACAAATAACTTAAGTAATATGTACAGGAAGAAATCACTCCAGAAAATCAACATAACCAGAAGGAAATATTAAAAGTCACTATAAGTTTCCGAAGTCCAAACATTCACTGAACGTTTTTAAACGACGACCTGAGTGGCTGAATTGAAAGTTGTTTACAAAAGCACATAATCACTACACAACATGTGTTGAACTTACACTCCCACAATAGATTCACACATCGACGCTGATCTAAAATTGTACGAAATATTAGAAACTTTTGTCCTCATTGAAGAAATTTATAATCAAAATTATAAGCACAAATGCGACGTCAAACAGAATACACTGAAGTTATAGCAAGCTTTTCTTTTTAGTCCTTGCATCAGAGGCCAAACGCGAATGATGCTTGTGATTTCGATAATTTCCTGAGTATTTCACTTAGATTAAACGAGAAAACCTTTTCAGAATTAAATTAACACGAAAAACGCACCGTCGCCTCAGTGTCGTCGAAGAATTGGCGCTCCCAGTCCAACCTATCTGGACCTGGGGTATCGAGCCCATTTCTTTCATTCCCCTGCCTTCTCCCGCCCATGGGCGCATAACTAGCAGCGGTCTGTTGTGGTCCCGCTCCACTTTGATGAGACGCCGCCAATCTCCATCGAGCTGTGCCACCTATCAAGTCACTGCGCCTGAACAAGCAACTGTCAGAGTACTCAGTAAAACATGGAATTCATAATTCCAAAACGAAACAAGTCTTGGAAAACGTACACATAAGTAGGGCAGATAAAAACTAGCTCTCCCAATAAAACCCCCATTGCATTCGCTTACAATTAAGCAAGTAATTTATTTAAAAGAAATATGATATTACAGTGAATAAGGAGGCAGTCAATAGCAGAATAAAACTTTCTTCTAGAATAAAAGATTATAGGTATACCTCACGTGGGTGACTACCCAGAACGTATGGGGCTGTGTGTCACGTCTACGGATGGTCAGCACGTATGAGGTTAAACGTGGGCCATAAGCAACCTTGCACTTGCCCTAGCTTGCTGATGGATTCATGGCCTAGATTCCCTGTTTCATCTGCTCCAAACTGACTTACGTTTTCCTTATACAGTTGTATACGTTCATATGTGCACGTATGTGGGTATCCTTCTGAGGACTGCGCGAAATAAGAATGATGTTATATTTCAAGTGGTCTTCGAGCTAACAGCACCTAATTGGTTGATCTTGGCGCTCAATAAAACGAGTGGAGACTATAAGCACTCATTCGTCAAAGGATAATTGACGTAATTATAGGCTAATGGTGCAGGGAAATTAAATGCATACCTCCTCCTATTGCTGTAAATAATTTTGCCAATCACAGCTACTGCTGCGATGAACAAGACGAGTGACAGGAAAACCAAACCGGAAAATGAGCGCTCTGTAGTAGGGACTTTATTTGTCTGCTTAGCCACTGAAAATGAACTTTCGTTTAGTACAAATGACGACGTTTATATGGACATTGCTAAAAACTTCTGTTTTCAAATGAGATTATAACCAGTGATAGCACAATGAAAACTATCTAATATCCTGGCACATCTCTTATTAACTGAAAAGACCTACTTTCTATAAACCTTGGCATAAATGATCAATATATTTATTTATATGCTCTTGTGAAGTGATCTTGTTAAGCTGATATGAGGTTGACATTGTTGTCGTTGTTGTTGCTGTTGGTTCCTAAGAAAGGCGAAGTCGCCCAAACGTCAGCCATCGACCAGTGACAACAACAACATTGTAAAAGTTGAAACAATTTGGATAGAAATTCCATCTCATCCAAAATACTCAATGAAACCCTAGTCAGACACTTTCTTTTTTCTACTACACTAGCACATTGACCTGCTGAAAAACCATCAAGAACCTATCATGCCATTACTGGAATGTTTCCAGCAATTTCGTCGTTGGTGTCGAAAAACACTCGACCCACCCAAGTCAATTCTAAAAATGCCATTTTTTGTGCAAGGTTCCTAAATATTCAACTACTTTAGTGGTTAACAAATTATCGTTAGCCGTTGAAAAACATCACCGAAGCGATGTCTCAGACAAACTTTAAACGAAGATAATATTTAGGAGAACTTGTGCACACTATTGATTCAATATAACAAAACTCTCTCTATGGATCTATCAAGCTATCAGCTCCTCAAGTGTTATAGTTATAGAAGAATTGTACCAGCATATGTCAAGAACTAATATCATGCCAAACATTCTGAGTAGAAAACAGAAGGGTCTACACAGTCAAACGACCACATGTTATTTATATAATCTTATGAACTGATCTTGTTGAGCTGATGCGAGCTTACTATGATTGACGTTGTTGTTGTGGAGCACCACTCGTAACAGCACGGCTCCGAGGAAGGCGAAATCGCAGAAACGTCAGTCATCGAACAAAAAAACAACAAAATCGACAACAACTTCAAATATACCAACCTCGTATCACCTCAACAAGATCACTTCATAAGAACATATAAAAAAATATAATGACTATTTAAGCATAGATTTTCTGAAAGTCGGTATTTTGAGTTATTAAATTCCCATATTTCCTCCACTTTTCCTACCGTCCATAGAGGTAAGTGGTCGAATTTGAATACCCAGTCAGCTCAACTTGGTGATCCAAGGTCTTTCCTCAATGACACTCTGAACACTGGTCAAAGTGACTTTTCCCAGGAACTGGAAATATTTTGTTAGAACGTTCCAAGGTCGCCACCGAAGGCATATTGAGAGCCTTCGTAGGCTGAACGTTTTCTGTCCACAACGACTGCAACGTTGTGATCTTAGAACTTTTCACTTGAGGAGAATGTAACAAACTAAAAACAAGAAAAAACTTTATTCTCTTCGATCCCTAAATAACAGAAACTACTCGTGACGACAACCAGAAAACAGTATTGCCCGACCATCTTGAGCGTCTAGGGAAAGATAATCTCTCACTCATCCATCCAACGTGTTAATGAAAGAAGTTAGCAAAATCTCAAGTTATAGTTGAAGCCACATATGATCTCTAACAAATCCGTGGGAGAAAGAGCTATTACCCGTCGATATGCGAAAACAAATCATCCAAGTATCTGAGTGATTTCTTTACGCTCTCTTGAACTCTTCCGCTACTACAACACTTCATTAAACGCCTACATACTGGGATGATTTAACATTTTGACTCCACATTATACAAACTATAATCTATAATCCTTATATTATAAGCAAAGTTCATTATAACAGAACTTAATAGAGAAACTCATTCAAAACCAAGCATCGAAATCCCAACAAATACGTACCAGTGGTAACAATCGCACTACTTTTGGTCACTAGCATTGTAATCGTCGTAGCAGGAGATGGACTCGTCAACGGAGGGTTCGCCTAAACAAAATGTTAAATCATCCCAACTGAAAGTTAAGACTTCAAAAGTGGAGTACAGATAAAATAATTTACGACCAAAATCACTACACTACGCAAAGGAATAATAAAAGACAAAACTACTCGATGAAGAAAGCTGCTAATATGAACGAGCTATAATTTTTATCACCACCACACCGCACCTTTTTCAGCTGATACTGCTCACATCAAAGCAACCTAAACGTCAATTAAAAACTGTCCAAAAAAAAAAAAATCCTCCTTGTACGTGCATACATACACACATGTATGTACGAATATATATTGTACGCCCATTAATGCACATATACATATATACACATACACATATATGCGTATATATAATACATAAACATATATATAATGTGTGCAGCAAGGATAAAAGCACATTAAGATAAGAGGTGGAGCTCATAAGACAAACAAATAAAACGAAAAAGTTAAGTAACTCCCAGGTCCGACTTTCTATTAACCTCGGCATTGATTGAATAATTCTTTCTACTTCTGTTCAGCAAACACGAGGTGTTATTTTATTTCTTTATTTACGTACAAGCTGACGTTTCGGCGGATTTCGCCTTCCTCAGAGCCTGGAAAGGTCATGTTGACTGCAATCTACACGGCCAAACATCTCCATAAACAAATTGAGAAAATGCTGAACCAAAATTTCAATCACATTGAACACAGCTTTGCACACTCATCGCTTTCTATGAGTCTTCCACTGAGTATGTCGCGTGAAGACCAATCGCACAGAATTCAAATGGAAGCGTGATGTGCCATACCCATCAGAATAACAGGTTCATATACTGTCCAATATCACGCGTGATAATGAGGCATTCTTCCCTGTGGTTCATTTTCGGATTCTTGGAGTTAATCCAGGATTCCTCTAGAGTTATGCGTGCTTGTGCTCTCGATTCTTGTGCGAGCATCGTAACCCCTACTTCAAAATCTTCTCCGTTATGTCTCTGCGTCCTATGCGTGCCTAGTGGAGTATTTGGTTTACGTTTGCCGACTAGGTGTTCTCTTATACGTACGCAGAGTGGTCTACCCGTTTCGCCAACGTATTCGTCTTCGCACGCATTACAAGAGATCAGATAGACTGTACCCGAACTAATGCAGTCACCGCCTGTACCATTGGGACAAATTATGCACTTTGCGTTGCACATGGACGGTTGCATAGGCGGTTACGAACTAGCTGGCGTCTTAAATTACTCGGTGGTATTTCAATTATCATTACCGAATTCTCTAGACCGGTCCTTCCTAAGCAATGTTTTATAGCTGCACTTACTTCATTTGAAAGGAAGAGTAGTATAGACGGCACCTTATTGTCGCTAGAGTTATCGTTCGGGTTCCTTTAGTTTCCTCTACATCTATCTCGAGCTACGGCTTCGAAGCCATTAAAAATGGCTATTTGCTGCGCCAAGTTCCGGCACTCCTCTCTCTGCCCTCCTCCCATGCACACGTTGGTTGTTGTTCGGAACATATTTCTCACAAGCGCTCTTTTCGTGTTGGGAGGGTGAGAAGAGAGGAAATGAACCAAAATCGTTTTACTACATGGCTTTCGATACCATTTCGTAATGTAGCCGTTTCTGACAGGTTTATTTGCACGTTCAGAAATGGAAGCCAGTCCATCTGTCCATTTCTTCTTGTGTTGAACAAATGACCAAGCAGTCATATCTACATATCTAGAGTAGAGTAAAGGACCAAGGTCGATTGCTGGCGCTTCCACCTTAGACATGAATGCAATGGCAAGGCTTGGTGCCAGTCGTTGTCCCATTGCCAGCCCTCTCATTTGTGCGTAATACCTCCCGGATCATCTGAAGATTGAGCAGTTTAGGCACTGCTTTAAGAGTGTCACCAACTGCTGAATCGAGAAGCCGTACATGTTTATTGCCCCTTCGTGTTGTATAAGGAGTTCGCGGATGGCTTGCATAGCGGAGTCATTCGACAGGTTCGTGTAGAAAGCAGTGACGTCGAAGGACTCCACCACGTACGCGCTGTTGAGTCGCGTGTTACGTAGACGATCCAGGAACGTTTGGGTGCTCGTTTGATGAATTTGAATACACTTCAACAACTTAGTAAGTATTAGGCTTATTAACCACGTTATTCCATCCGTTGGCCCGTCCACGCAGCTAATGATAGGTCTAACCCTAAATGACGATGGAACGGTAGACACGAGATCATCACTAGATACTAACTTATGGGTTTTGATAAGTAAGTACAGCACGGGGCATTTTGGTAAGTCAATTTTGAAATGAGAGATAACTGATGGTTTTAACTCAACCGCTCTTGCCACTTTAACCCATTTGTTGTTTAACCTTCGGTGCTGACTTTAAAATTCCTTCTCAGACGACGGACGATAAAGGGAACCATCTTCAAGGTGTTTTTCCATTATCTCAACATCAAACAGATTGGGAATTACAACGAACTCTCTACCCTTGTCACTAACTGATAGTCTTATGTTTTTCGATCTTATCAGCTATCAGCTCCTATCATCACACCCCGCATACCACGTTTTTGTATTTCAGTGAGGTTGGAGCAGTATATCTTGGCGAGATTGTGATTGAGGACTTTGGAAGTTTCATTCGTAAACGACCGAAATTTCATGTTAACTTCATTATTGGGCTCTTCTTTTCTAAAGAACGGTTGAGGAAATGGTGGTACTGGTTGATACATTTATTTATGTGATCTTATAAACTGATCTTCTTAAGCTGACGCGAGCTTGGAACAGGTCTTCGTTGTCGTCGTTGTTGTTTTTGACGTTACTGATCGATGGCTGACGTTTCGGCGATTTCGCCTTCCTCAGAGCTTGGACGTATTGTGTATAAAAATACTTTAATTATTCGATGGAAAAGAAACGTTAAAGTATTAATGAAGACCAAACTTTCAAATAGACGCCAAATTGAACAGAAAGGCCACTCACCGTGATGTGACGTGTGGGACTGGCCAACGCGTTGTTTCCGCGGAGTCGCGAGCAAGACACACCCCTGGGTCAAAATATTTTAAAATAGGCGCCAGGTCAAGCGTGATAGTGAGGCATTCGTGTTTCCGGTTCACCTTTGGATATTTGAAATTAATCCTAAACGCCTCAAGAGTTTTGCGAGCTGATGTTTTTCATTCCTGCGCTAGGATCCGCACAGTCACTTGAAATTCATCGCCGCTGTGCTCTTGTGCTCTATGCGTATCTAGAGGGGTGTTTAAACGGATTTTAGATTTTCCACCTAGATGTTCTTTTATGCGGACACAAAGTGGTCTACCCGTCTCCCAATATATTTCTCACCGCATGCCTTACATGAGATCAAGTACATTATGCCTAAACTCATGCAATCCCCGTGTCTTCCGTTAGGACAGATCATACAGTTTTCTGAGCTGCACAAACGATCATAGAGACGGTATCGAACTAACTGGCGGCGTAGGGTATTGGGTGGGATGTCAATAATCGTTACATAATTTTCAAGACCACTTTTTCTCAAGCAATTTTTAATGGCGTGACTTACTTCATTTGATATGAAGGGTAGCTTGAAAGTTAGACCTATCATCAGTTGCATAAGCGGACCAACTGATAGAATAACGTAGATCCTAAACCTTATCCTAACCAAGCTGTTAAAATTCATTCCAACCAATCTACCTAACACCAGAATATTTCTGGATCACCTAAGACGCGGGCAACCAAACAGCAGGCATATAACGGAATCATTCGATGTTACTTCACTTTATACCAATGTGTCCAATGACTCCGCAATGCAAGCCACTCTCGAGTTGGTCGTAGAGCATGAAAAGAAAATAAAAATACACAGCTTGTCGATTGCGAAACTAATGACTCTCTTAAAACAGTGCCTTAGTTGTTCAATCTTCAGGTGGTCTGGAAAATATTTTGCACAAATTAGAGGGTTGGCCATGGGGCAGTGTTTGGCACTAAGCTTTGCAGTCGCTTTCATGTCTAAGGTGGAAGCCCCAGTAATCGACGACGGGCCGTTACTCTACTGTAGATATATAGATGGCTGCCTGGTCATTTGTTCAACACAAGAACAGATGGATGAGTACTTTGAATTATTAAACCGACAGTCAGAGTGTATAAAATTTACACGAGAAAAACCTACCGAGAACTGGTTTCCATTCTTAAACATCCAAATAAAGCTCTCAGTAAGTGGCTATTTAACAAAATGGTATCGCAAGCCAAGTAGTAAAAACATTTTAGTTCACTGCCTCTCCTCTCATTCTTCACACATGAAAAAGGCACTTATCAAAAACATGTACCGTACGGCTAAAAGTGTGTGCAGAGGAGAAGAGGAAAGCAAGGAATCGCTGAACCTGGCACGAAATATAGCCATTTCCAATGGCTACGAAACCGAAGCCACTCAAATTAGACAAAAACGTAGGGTAGTTTCCCAAAATAATTTTTCGGACCTAAGTAAGATCCCCTTTAAGCTGCCCTTCATATCAAATGAAGTAAGTTAACCCATTAAGAGATGTTTAAGAAAACGTGGTCTTGAAAATTATGTAACGATTATTGACATCCCACCCAATACCCTACACCGCCAGTTAGTTTGAAACCGTCTCTATGATCGCTTGTGCAGCTCAGAAAACTGTATGATCTGTCCTAACGGGAGAGACGGGGATTGCATGAGTTTAGGTATAATATACTTGATCTCATGTAATGCATGCGGCGAGGAATATATTGGGGGAAACGGGTAGACCACTTTGTGTCCGCATAAAAAAACATCTAGATGAGAAAGCTAAAATCCGTTTAAACACCCCTATAGGTACGCATAGGGCACAAAAGCACAACGGCGATGATTTTGAAGTGACTGTGCGGATCCTAGCGCAGAAATCAAAAACATCAACGCGCAAAACTCTTGAGGCGTTTTGGATTAATTTCAAAAATCCAAAGATGACCAGGAAAGACGAATGCCCCACTATCACGCGTGACCTGGCGATCTATTTCAAAATGATATTTTGACCCCGGGGTGTCTGCTCGCGGCTCCGCAGAAATAACGCGTGGGCCAGTCCCACATATCACATCATGGTGAGTGGCCTTTCTGTTCAATTTGGCGTCTATTTGAAAGTTTGGTCTTCATTAATATTTAACCTTTCTTTTTCACCGAATAATAAAAAATATTCTAAAATAAAATACGTCCAGGCTCTGAGGAAGGCAAAGTCGCCGAAACGTCAACCATCGATCAATAACATCAAAAATAACGACAACGAAGACCTGTACCAACCTCGCGTCAGCTTAAGAAGATCAGTTTATAAGAACACAAATAAATATATCAACTATCTATGCCGAGGTTTATAGAAAGTCGGTCTTTCGGGTGGTACTGTTATTGCCCCTACTTTTTGTTGTTCGCGCCTATTTAGCGCTTCGCCCCCAGCTTTTTTGGGAAGTCTATCTTGAAGTTCATGTAAAGCACATGCGACCTTACGTAAGGTTTCCTTTGAAATGGGTTTAGATGGTGAGAAACTCGGTCACAACTCTAATAACGAGCGCGCACCGTCAGAGAGTCATGCCTTAAAGCACGCTTAGCCTTCAATTTCTTTGCACATTATTTATCCTACGGTGACTCGTTTGATTTTCGTTGGCGGTGTTTCTGTATGCTCTTGAATCCCTGTCATGCGATTTACTCAAAAGGCGTTCGAATTTTCTCTGCAAAACTACTCCAGCATTAGACCTAATAGAGTTGCAAATCAACACTGATCCACCCACTATTCTCCTCCAGAGGTGGTCCCCCAAATATTGAGCACAATAGTTTTCTTTTTCTCGCACTTCCTCCACTTGGCGAACATTTGGTTTTGTTTGATTCGTAGACAGGTGCGTAGTACTTGCAATTCGATGTCCAGTACTCGATGGTTATCCTCTAGCAGTCCGCATACTTCGTGTAGTCGTTTTCTTTTTATGAATTTCGGAACGACTCGGCGTTTTATGCAGCGGCGGAGAAAGTGTATCGCCTGTCGAGCTAAAACGATCTTCTCTCTAAGTGACAGTACTTCTTTTGCAAGCCGGAAGTATCTTACTGGTACATCATGTAATAACTCCCACGTCCGACTTTCTATTAACCTCGGCATTGACTGGATAATTCTTTCTACTTCTATTCAGCAAACGCGAGGTGTTATTTCATTTCTCTATTTACGTACAAGCTGACGTTTCGGCGGATTTCGCCATCCTCAGAGCCTGGAAAGA